CCCCCCAGAACAAGCAGATCTATTGCCAAGACTGTGTGTACCTGATCGGTTGACCAGATAGCTTAAACTAGTGACCTGAGTTAAATGTATTTCTGGGCTAATGGAGTCCAGATAAATTAACTAGTGGCTTGACAATGTGAACCCTTAGGTTTATTTAACTAATGACCTAAATAACTATGTGTGTCTGAGCCAATAACTCAAACTTACCTAGGTAGAAACGCGCACTATGTGTGTCATTAACAAACAGGAATCACACTGTAGGCTGATAGATGAAGTAATCCCCAGCAACCACCTGGCTCAGGCTTGGGCGGCCTGAGCAAATAGTTTTAAATTTGTCATTCAAGAGTTGTCCATTTTTTTATTTTTTTCCATTAACGTTCATCAAAGTTACTGCAGTGGAAATACTTACCTTTAACTTATTAATAAGCTAACAACATAAATAGCAAATATTTGGTGAAAGAATAAATCATGTACACCCTGTAGTTGTGGTGTCATATGCCCAGGACTAATTCTGCCTCAGAAGCAGCTGCTCATTTATTTTGATAATTTAAAATATTTATATTGCATATTAAGAACAATAATGTTTGCATTGTATGAACACATAATTGCTAAATGAGTGACTCGTTCCAATATGGCCTTGAGCAAGACACTACAGTGACTTTATTTAAATGCAGTTGTCTGCTTTTATATTAATCGTGTCTAAATTAAAATTTGCAACATAGAAATGCTGTGCATGCTCCTGAGAAAAATCTCGATGACTGAATGCCTATGCAAGCTGCTACTACTGCACAAGAGACTGAACTGCTGAGAGCTCCATTAATTAGGCATACGAGTAGCTAGGCGAATGCCTATTTTACTCTAACATGGTATCTATGCATTTAGATGACTGAATGCCTATGCAAGCTGCTGCTACTGCACAAGAGACTGAACTGCTGAGAGCTCCATTAATTAGGCATACGAGTAGCTAGGCGAATGCCTATTTTACTCTAACATGATTTCTACGCCAGATACGAGCAGCACAATATGACCAAATCAATAGACACGTAACGATAGGTAAAGCGGTCTGCAATGTATGCAGTGCGATACGGCATAATGCTGCTATAACTGCACAAAAGTACTTAGAATTGCTATAAGCGTCTTAATTAACAAGCAA